CAAACATAGAACAAGAGAAATCAACGCAAAAAAAGTTCAGCATCCAACTTTTTTCTTTGTTGGAACGGTTGCGGGTTTTCTGCACCACTAGATGGTTTCTGTTTCTAAGGCTGCAGGATCTTTTTGGTATGCGCTGGTTTCTTCTTGAGTTTCGAGAGTGATCATTTGAGAGTTGATTATGTGAGCTTTTGAGTAATTGATGAGAATGTGTTTTCTAGTCTTTTGTCCAGGTTTTTATGTAGCTGCTGAGCTCTTGCAACTGCTATAGGTGATCAGATCAGGTCTCCTTGTAATCCATGTTTATATTTAAAATTTCTGTTAGCAGAAGGTCCCCCTCACGATTATATGTATCATCCATATGTGTATCTGCTATGGATGCATCAGTTTTGATATGTCAGTTAGCTGCACTGCCATTTCTGGGAAAGCAGGAAAGTTTGAATTAATATTGGATTGTGCATCTGAAGCATGTGTCTGATAATTGCACTAGGTGTACTATCTATATGCTTAAGTTTATGTCTTCATGCTTGGAGGTGTCCTGCTGGCTGAGCTTTGCTGTGCACTCTCAAATCAAGCGACCTCATGCTTTGGGGCAAGGTTGCTGGTGCTTTTCTGCGGTGCTGTTCGGCTTTAGATGTCTTTTCCGGACTCCAGAATCTGAGAGTGACTTAAGTTCAGATTTGATCCTTCTGGTTTCAGGGGGCAAGGGTTCCTTCTTAATAGAATTTGCAGACAATCATGCATTAGAGGTCAGCTGGTTTAACTTGGCTGCTACAGTCGGTTTTTGTACATCTTGGCTCCTAGTTATTTAGGAATCCAACAAAACACATGGTATTGAACTGATACTGATCAAGGTTCCCTCACCCAGATAAGCAATGGGCCAAGACAAAGGAATACACACAACCGACCCAATGAAACCCTTGATAACTTGATCTTCAACACTAATGCTCCCAAATTGACTAGGGAAATCAAGGGAGCAAAACAAAACACAACTTAGATCCCTTGGCAGTTCTATGCGTCTCTATGAGAGAAGAGAAGGTCAGCTCTGGCAAGAGCCTTACAATTTGCATCAGATCGTAAATTTAAATTCTTTTCAATTCAATAAGTCTATTCATCTTCTGTCGTTTTCTTATGAAAAGCAGTTATTAAGGGATGAGTTCCCTCAGACTGAAGAATCAATTATTGGCAAATCAACATGGTTTGGTTTCAGCATTTATAGCAGTCAATTTTCTGAGGTGATGCAGCTGGGTAGACCGTTTGCCAATAATAAATTTCTGGCTTTCATTGAGTTCGAAAGTATCCATGACGACTTCATCTTAGTTTTTACATCTGCAGATGATTTATGCAGTCAATACAAATTTGCTTTCACACTACAAGGATCCAAAACCAGAGGAAAAAAATAACTGACTAAAAAGAAAAAGATTTGCTATTCCCAAAAAAAAGGAAGGATTTGCTATTTGCAACTGTTTGCCTCTACTGGATTGTGTAATTCCCTATTATTGCCACTTTTTGGCTGCACACCTGGTTTTGATGCTTGAGGACAAGCACCTTTTTAAGGGAGGTCGCCATATGGCTACAAGAACAAAATTGTTTTCATTTTATTTATCTAGTTATCTGGTTTTACTAGATGATATAGATAGTTATTAGGATAAGTGGGTAGGTAGCTCCAAAATATGTGGGATAAATGCGTTGGTAGTTTTTAGGATGGGGGTTAAGTAGGTAGTTTCTAGGATGTGGGGTAGTTACTTTCAACTAGAGACATTATTATTCTTCCAAGTTATATTTTCTTATATAAAACAAAATTTTTATCGAAATAAGATATGTAGAAAAATTTGTCAAAAAAGTTCACTAAGCACTTTAAACTCCTGGAGATCATTAGATTCTCTCTTCACGAGCTCATACTACTAACAAAATCTATAACTAGATCCTAAGAAAAAATAATAATAAATAGTGTCAATTGCAAACTAGAGATGGGAGACTAGAACATCATCCCCCCACACGCTAAGCCCTCTCACAAACCCAAGACAGCATCCACTAAGGAATTAGAGATAATAATTCAAGTTAAATGACTAATTTAATATCATTAAGAAAAAAAGATTATTGAATTAAAAATTATAATTTCCCATGTAATTTATATTTTTAAAAAGTTTGTATAATTGAATTATGACAAAATACTTCGTCAATAGCTTTTTAATTAAAGATAATGAAATTTCCTTTTGGTTATTTTGAAAGAGCTTACAAGCTACCATTTTATCAATTGAGTAATAGGACATATGTTATGAACCTAGTAGATCATAACATCCAGTTGTTAAGAAGAAGAGAGAAGAGTGATTGAGGAAGCTAAGTCTTTGTTTGGTGGAATTTCTAACGTGCCACCAAAGATTTCTTTAGAGTTCCGCTGGAACAGTTATCTGCCACATATCAGTAATAGCAGATTTATATGACTGCCACAGGTTTGTTTAAAGTTTTGTCATGTTAGTTTACTGATACATAAGTTATGGCAGATTTAATGCATTTCATCTGGTTGTAAGCATAAAATCTATTTTGCAGTAACTAAAGGATTAGAGAAGAATTTAGAAAAAGTTTCTTAAGTACTTTAAACACTAGAAGATTGTTAGATTCTCACTGATGGGCCCATTACATTAATTTATCTGCATAACAAGTATGGACCATAAAAACGTAACTTCATGTTATCTCAATAACAGTTCAACAGTTCAATTGTAAACAAACTCGTACAACTTATAAACTGTGAAAGAGCTTATAGGATCCTACATTTTAAAGCTAAGTCAAACATCCTTTTCATACAATGTTAATGATTTATCATTGACCAAACCTTTCTACTTAACTTATTTTTTTATTTTACTAGGTTTTCTACGTTTCCCATTTTTGATGTATTTTGGTGCCTATAAATTTTGTATCCTAACTTAGTTATTAGGTAGACTACTTATAATTATTATTCAAATGTTAAGATAGTGTTTTGATTATTGAGGTTTCAGATCTCCAAGTTTTGTTCTTAATAAAATTTCCTTAAGTTTTCTTTCCAAATTCTCTTTATCCTACATCAATTGGTATCAGAACTTAAAATCGATACACCACATTTCCTAAATTTTCCCAACACAAGCCTACTGCCCAATGCACCACCAAGAAGCTGTTTGAGTATCTAAGCCACTTTAGGAGATGTTTTTTTTATACTGTTGTAGCTTATCTTCTTCCTACAATTTTTGGCAGTAGCTTTTGCAATTTTGTTGGAGAACTTGGGATGGAATGAGCTTGTAGTTGCTTCCTACAAGATTTTCTACTTTGAAACTAGGTTAATATTTCAAAACCCATGCATTATACCTATATTTCTCATAGTTATACCTTCATCTAACTATTTAAAAAAAAAAGAAAAAAACCCACACAACCTACCTTCTTTTAGTCTCCCCTTACATTTATTTCAAAGTGAAAAATTATTAAGCCTCATTGTGCATTCTTGCATTATTACTTTAAGCAATCATAGCAAATTCATCATTCATGAGAATTTTCAGTTCCCTCTTAAACAACATTTGTGAACATTCATCTGTGCAAGCTAATTTCTCTCCTTACAAGACTAAACGAATAGGTCAGCACTGAAAGCTTAGAAAAAACAGTTAACATGACCCTCATCTGTGTGTGTGAGCCTCTGATGAGGATGAAACCAATCAACCTACAGACAGGCCTAGGCATTTTCTAGAAACTAAACAATCGCATCATGACTTTAGGGGAGGAAACAATCACCAACAATCTAGATACAAGATCCTGATGTCTTCCTAGATTGGCTAGTCAGCATGGAAGATTACTTTGAATGGTGTGAGAGGAGAGACATAGAAAGAGTTCGATTTATAAAGATTAAATTGAGTGGGTCAACCAAAAAGTTTTGGCAAGTTATCCAGCTCAATCATGATCATTTAGAGGAGCCCCTTGCAACTCAATGGAGTATGATGAAACAGAAGCACAAAGAAAAGTATTTACCAACCTACTATAGAAACAATCGATTGACAGATTACTTAAACAGTTGATTTCTAGTGTAAGTGATAACATGTTTAAGTTTGAAGAATTACTAATTAGGTGTGGCCTCGAAGCAAAACCCTACATTACTGTTACTATGTTTATCAATGGACTTAGGACAGACCTCAACTCTCCCGATCAGTTGGAAGATGTATACATTAGAGCTTTATTAGTTTGAGAAGTGCAATAGGAATCCTGTAGTTTGCTGTACAGGCTACCAAGAGCCACGACCAACTCAGTCAACGGTACAAGATGACATTCATAAAAATGATGAATTTAGATCTCCAATCCTTGCCTTACGGTTGCCCATTGTTTTGTTCCTTGTCCTAGGGGCTATTCCATAGAAACTCGTGGGTCGCCTATCCAATGTCACAAATGTCAAAAGCAAGGACATATTACCTCTTGTTATCGATAACATTTTTTTATTTTGTGTCATAGTTAATTTTTTATTAGTTTCTTAGAGGAATATTTTGTTGATTCTTTAGCTCATATTTCAATTTATTTTGTAAACTTCTATAATTATATAATTCAAAGGAAATTTTAATTTACAGTATTATTTTCATTTAATATTGAATATGTTTAATCATTTTTTATTGTATTATTACCTATAAAAGTACATTAAGATGCACTTTCGACCAAAAATAATAAGGAAAGATATTATAGTCACTTGTTGCTAGTTCCAATCTCTTTGAATTTCATTATCATGGAACTAAACATAGTAATATGATTGTAATTAGTCATTCCTAGTTGCTAACCAACCAGCAATTTCATTAAAGTTTTATTCTATTGCCACCAAATTGTTATTCCATCATAATCTCATTCTGCCTGACTAACCAAATGACCTCTAAGTTCTCTCTCTCCCACCTACCTTACCAGTTATCACCTTCCATCCATCAATTCATCTATCTGTGAGATGTTTTGGCCAAGTACCACATTAATGAAATAAATAAGATTGGTTAGATTTAGGGATAAATTACCATCCGAGTTGAAAATCCAGGCGCCTAGCTGCAGCCAACTGATCTTCAATTTTGTCTGAATTAGGCTCTGCCCATTCGCAATCCACCGAAATGCCTACTTGTCCCCCCTGCTTATCCTGAAACAAGACAAAGAACATTGGCACCCGGAAACATGGAACTTAATTTGATGAATTGAGATACACAGGTAAGTAAAACCAGAAAAAAGTTCATCAAAATAACACGTATATCATACTTTGGACATAACCACCTGCCTTTTCTAATGAAATGAGAAATACTATTGCAAAGGGAGAGCTGTTACAAACAAGATTGAGAGGGGAAAGGATCTTCCAACCAGAAGAGGAAAGTACTAGATGAATGACAAAATAACTATCCAAAGAGAAGAAGGGGGAGCTCTTGGGCAAAGAGAAGACCACTCTATCCCAAAACATGTGCAATGGTATCATTGCTAAAAAATTCTAGCATTTTGTTCAACCATCAAAACCACGCAAAGGGTAGAAATAAAAATTTCCTAGTCAGGGGGGACAGAGATAAACTTTGCTAATCATGGAAAATTCCATCTAAAGCAAACCATCCACACTAAGACACAAAGGAACAAACAAGGGGGTTGGGAGCACCTTTCTATGGGTCAGTATTTAGGTTAAGGGAGGCAATAAATCCTTTTTCTTTTTTTTTTGCCTCATGCACACAATTCTTTTAGAGCTGTCTACTAACTACTTTTTTAAAAAAAATTGTACTCTATTCTTTGGAAGATTTGGTCTCCATTAAAGACATAAGATAGTGCTTCTTTGGAAGGAGGTTAGGGCTTAAATTGAAGAGTCAATTTTTCCTGTGATTGTAAACTAAAATTAATTTTCTATTTAGAACTCGTACTTATTCGTTAGTTGGTGACAGAGAGAGAGAGTGCGACTGTTAACAACTTAATTTGGCGGCCATCGGCCGGCTACTGGGGCCATCTTGACACCCTAGAATGGCAAAAAATTCCTCATTGTTGACAACAAGTCGTTTGACTTGTTGTGCAAAGGCAAGAGGATGGACGGGATGAGAATTTGTGAAAATGGTAAGGGATTTCGAACGTCAATTTCGCTCAAGAATAAAGAAGTAGACTGGCTTCTCAATGCCTTAGAAGACTTCATCTAGAATAAGGGGGGTGTTCCATGGGCTAAACACTACATGGGTTAGAATCGTGAGCTGTGAATTTCCTTTGGAACCAACAGAAGAAGAATGCATTTGGTCTTATCGGAATTATGGGAAAAGAAGGTAACACGGATATTCATACCAAAAGGTTATCAGGGGAGAGGATGGTGGCTATTCATGGTGGCGGCATTTGAGCTAGCTAAAAGATAGGTTGTTACCTTGAGAGCAAAGAAAAAGTGGAAAGGAATGAGAGAGGAGTAGACCGACTGGAAAAGGGCCAGGAAAGACTGTGGAAAACCCCATTTAACTGCCCACACTCTGCAAGAGCCATCCATTTCTCAGTGGAGGTTGGCCCGTACCTAAACAACGACACTCAACTCCAAAGGGAAGCCTAGAAATCAAGTAGGGTAGAGCTGCGACACAAAGGAAGTGGAGTTGAATCGGGCAGAAGCCCCGACCGGAAAGAAAGGGGAGATGGATTGCAAGTCTTAGCTTATATGGGGTGAGAAGAATGGGCCTAACTCATGCCAAATTGAATGGGTCCATGAGGCAGAGATGATTCTTTCATGAAGAGAAAGAAAAGTGGATCACAAGTCCTGATATAGGTGCGGATAAGCCTACAGG